TGCGTGGCACAGTGGGTGGGCCTATCCACTCCCTCAGAAAAGCATTTGTATATTCAACATTGACCATCAGTTTAACTCCAAGGGGCTTTCGCTGGATAGAAAGACGGACAAAGCTAACTGAGGAATTCATAGGCTAAAAGCCTCCTCCTATGGTTTCCTGTATTCGCACACAAGGATTAAGCCTGTAACTTTTAGCTGTAGAAAACAAACAGGGCTGGTTTCAGCCAGTACTGACTGAACAGTTACCAGGTAAGGACTCTGGAATGCGAGAGAGACATAGGGAGAGAGACAATCATGTACCGCGCACATTATTCTTCCCAGAACACTTGGGATTGACTTCCAGGTTTTGGGGGCTTACGGAAAAGACAAGCCAGAACAAATTTTTAACCTACATGATGAAATTCCCATGCAGAAAGCTTGCCTCAATCCATCTATGCCTACACAAGGAAGATTTCTCTTGCCTCTAGAACATCATATATGTATTTTCTTTTCAATATATTAGCAGATTTTTTTTCCAAAGGTATAAAAACCATCACCTGAGAACAGATCTCAAGTTCAGAAGAATCCATAGCTCCCATTCCTGCATCCTTATCACTTCAGCCACATAATTCAACTCCTAGAAAATGCTGTGCATTTAAAAACCCAAATCCTGTTTCTCAAGGAAGACTCTTAGAGTCATTTTTTCCTCAAACCCAGTAAGGAAACCACCCTGCCATACTAACACGGAGGGAAGTACCAGCAAAGGTTGAATCCAGTCTCTGTGGAGACTCCCCGTACCAGGAATGTCAATGACAGTTATCTGGCCGGTCTGTAACATCGTCAAGGGGAGCTGACAGATCATCCAGCCATATTCCTCTTTTAACAAGAGCAACAACACTGTTCCGCAAGAAAGTAAAAAACCTAAACCCAACTGAAATCTGTTATTAAGTTTAGACAAAGTCAGAAAGTACTTCTTCCCATCTTAAACCAAAGTCAAATAAACATCCTTCTGAAATCATGGAGGCTTTGTCAGTATTTTCCAAAGCAATAACTAAACAGATTTCTGTGCCTGCTGTAAATACACAAGAATATTTATCATGAACATGTATCAAGCAGCATCCTCGTTCTAACAAAGATGTACTGCCTGTGAAAGCCAGGGATAATTCAGTCACCTGCCCCTAAACTAAAGCTTTTTCAAGTGCATCAGCTGAGCTCAAGGCTGTTTGCTTCCCTGCTAGTACTCCAGAAACATTTTCAAGGTAAGTATTTAATGGGAAAAAATGCTTTGAATATGCATAGGACTTTACAGCTTTCAAGCTACTCTGGATCTATATATGCAAGACATTGGGATGAAAAGGCCAAAGATGTGAATCTGAGAGAAGGTGGCTGGCTTGTACTAAAGCGGGAATAATCAAACCACACGTTCAGCTGGACTGCACTTTAAGTTAAAAAACCCAACCAAACAGAAACCACGTTCATCCTGCTTGCATGGCCCCCAGTCTGTTCTTCCCAACCTCGCAGAAAGCCCCCAGCCATCAGATAAACAAGTTACTGCAATCGTGCTCTCCTCCTGAATGACATGGTTGTGTTCTGCAAGCACAGCCACTTAAATGCAAAGCTGCTCCAAGCGCAGGTCTGTGCAGCCATACCTGCCACAGCTCTAATGCCAACATGCCTGTATTTAAGCGGTTTGTCTTCCCGATGCCACTCCCCCTAGAGATTCAGGTCAGTTACTTTAGGTTACCAATGCAGGTGTTAATGCTGCGCAAAGATCAGCACCTAAGTCGCAGTCTGCATGCGACGTTAGTTGGGACTTTTTCCAGCATCCTGATTTCTTGGAAATGTTGCCAATCCAGGCCAATACAGTTTATAGCAACACAAATTTCTATATGCCAAGCTAATTCCCAGAAATCCCCTTCACTCAGTGCGAGGGACCAAAACAATCATCTGTTACGGAGTTTTCAAACAATAAGCTTTAATTGCCTTATTAGAAAAATAAGCACTGAAATATATATAAATGTGATTACATTAAAGTAATTCTGTAGTCTAACATACTAGAAACCAAAGCCCAGTCATATTTTTAATGATACAGAGTACCAAGATTTAGGGTTTAGAAATTTTCCATAGAGAATACCGAAGTATGCAGTATCTTTTAGGAAACCACAGTAAAGACGAGACAGATCTCCACGTTGCAATAAAAACTAAGTAGATCAATTTATTCTGTATACTATACAATGTGTAAGTTTGTAAAGAACAATTGACATTTTTATCACCTTAACATCTCGACTGGGTGTAAATATGTCCAACAAAATGTACTCCTGTGGCCTTTACACAAACACTGTCCTACTACATCAAGAACAATGAGAGGGAAGCCTTTGGTGCTACAGATTTGGGGACATATCTGTGAAGTTGTAATTAATCCACTTAACTATCTCGAATAAAATGTTGGTGCTATCTGCTATTATAAGCCTACATGAGTACTACTCTAATAACTAAACACTGTCTATCTTTAAAGGCAAGATATGAAAGGGACTGCCAGTCTACAGTGTGGACAGGTTTTCTTTGAAAAAGGTAATTATCAAATGGTAAAACTCATATAATACATTATGTACATAAGTTTGGATAGCTGAGTTATCTTGCTGGAGTAAGCTGAAAGTAAGCATCGATTTGCAGTCACGTTTGATTTACTGTTAAGTGATTATTGGACTTAAGTTTTCTACAGTGTATAGAATCAAAATAGCTGTGCCTGCTGCTGAGGTCTGTCAGATGTGAAGGCTCATAATCAGTCATCGACCTAGTTAGTATTACAGTACTTCAAATATACACATGGATAATATATTCATAGCTGAATTTGTAGCAATCTTTGTAGCTAAGTGAGTGGAATGTTTAAATTTAAATGGCTATTTTTTAAACCTTCCCAAACATCAAGAAAGCTCACCTTATGTGAGCTCCAGAATAGTGGCACCAGACAGTACACAGCAAGTCACCTTGACTTGTTCAAAATTTGTTTCAGGCCCAGTCCTATCATTAAGTTTCAATTTCATTTATACATACAAAAATAAAGAGGGATTTTCACATTAGGACAAACATCTATAAAAAGCAGTTTGCTTCAGTATATCTATTTTTCCTTGCTATTCCCCCAGCCTAATTTCCTACTTAGAGAAGTCGAGTAAGCCCATTTCTTCAACCTGTTCTGCAAAAATCACAAATTCTTTATACTACTAATGGAGGACAGGGAATAAGGACAGGCTTGACGGAGCCCAGTTAGTTACTAGAAAAGGGCTATACAGACTTGAATCATGTTAGCAATTTCTAAATTCTCTGGAATGACTTCTCTGAACTGAAGACATTATACAGACACCAATAAACTTTGCTCATGTTCTGAACAAAACAGAACCAAATTAAGATTTTTCATTTTCTCTTGATTCTTTTCTTATGTTTGCCTTTAGAAGAGAGCATTGCAGAAAATATGGGCCAGTGTTCTTTTTGACTAGCTGTCCTTTATCTTGTAAGACGTTTCTGAATATGTCAACACAAAGCACACACTAAAAAAACATGCATCTTTAAGAGTGTTTTCTCTTACAATACCCACATTGGCGCTGTTTCAGTAGGCTGTTTCAGAACTGTTTCTTCAAAGTAAAAAAGTGCTCAGTAAACTGATCTTTTTGCAGTTTCTTACGCTCCCAAAGGGCATCAAGGCTGTGATTACCTATATTAAAATCAATTACACTATGAATCATACTGCACTTTTAATATTCTGATTTCATTGAACAAACATGCTTTTAAAAGCATCCAGTTAGCTGTTTAACATCAACTACATATTTTGGCAATCTAGTACTTATGATCTGCATCATAAAGATGAACTGCAGTTCATTCCTATTTTCTGACATGAAAAGTTACCTAATTTCTCAGTAGGTCATTATATAAATACCACTTCCAGTTCTTTGTTTCCCCAAAGCCAATCAGGGGCTGCTGTATAACAAAGAGAAAATTAGTTTACTACCACTTCAGGAGTTCAAGGAAAAAAAAAAAAAAATTATACCCTTCCGCTTCCAGAAGTCTAAAATAGCCCAAAGACAGTCGCGTATCAAACCTTAGCAAGCCTAGATTTGGAGTTTGCCACACAGGAAACTCTCTAGAACAGTATATTTAGCCATCTCCCGTGTAATCAGACAGAGCATTTCAGCTTTAAAAGCTTAAAGAGCTGCTGAACAGAAAGGGCACTTGTCTCCAAATATAGGTACAAATTCCAGATTTATATTTGAATGCTGGACGTTGTTGCAAAACAAAATATACAACCGCAAAAGCATAAGACTGAGTCAAGTGTAAATGTAAGTGTTTCACAAATTTCAGGTATTCAATTTTTACTTTCAGTAGCAAGATTCTGGGCTCTCAGTTTCAGGACAAGACTTTGAAAGATACAGAATCACTTGTGCTTTGATTGGCACATTATCTGCTTTTTAAAATGTAAAACTAATAGACGTTTGCAAAAGGTTGTGCAAAACTATTGTATTTACAAAAATGGCACAAGAGTGAATTCAACAGTCTATGCACATGCACACTTCATTCACATCTTCAACAAAAGTGTGTCCTAAGCTACGGAACTGAAAAGAATACCAGCTTCAACAGGCAGTTGTCAATAAGCACTAGATTCACAAGAGTTACACCAGAATGGGCAAATATTGCCCAAGTAAAAACTCTATTGTTAAAGCTGAAACAGGTTTAAGGCCATTCAAGTTCAAAAGCAGAAACAAAATTCAATCAGAGCCCTGTCTTTGTTTTTATACATGCTTTACCATCTAGCAACTTGTGGTCTAAACCTCTATTTTAGACAACAAACCCAAACACAGAAGAAAAACCCAACACAACTGGAGGTTATATTAAATACAAATATGCTGTAATTAAGATGAAATAACAAAAGCAGAAACATTAGAAGTTGTAAAACTTGCGATGTCACTTGCTGGAACCAGTCCTACACTAGGAAATGGGCAATATGTACATTTTCAAGTAGATTACATTGCTCTAACCAAACTTGTCCTTTTTAATCAGTGCATTTTTCTCAACTAGTCCAAATACTACACGTTTTACTCTTAACAGTACTCCCTTACAATAGCAGCACATGCTATCGCTACCTGCAAAGCTGTCAGTCTCATGACTTAGTGTAAGAAAGAAAAAGGGGGATGTGAGGGTGAGAAATAACTATTAAGAAGAAATAACAGGAATGAGAATAATCATGCAGTTCAGCTGTTCTCGTCAGCCAGCCAGCTTGCTAGCAACAAGAGACGGTTTCCGCTGTGGAAGATCCTGTGGAGTAGGAATATGGTCACCAGTGACTTCTGTCTTGTCAGGAGCTGCAGTAGGCAGTTGCTTATTCTTCATCTTTGCTTTAGCCATGTTGTAATCACCAGAATCGAAGTATTTTTGCTAGAAGACAAAACACACATATATTTAAAAGCCTGAAATCTTATCAGATGCATATGCTGATTTCATGGTAAATAGATTCTTTAAGTTTTAAAAACAGTTACCTTCCCAATTTGGCAAGGTAGCTAGCTCTATGTTGATTAAAAAAAAAAAATCTTATCAAGACTATTAAGCACACATAGCTAACTCTTAACATTAGCTAAGTATACAGTTGAGCTTCTACATATACTCACACCTTATGTGAACGCTATTTTTTCCCTAGTTTTCCCAAGAACTCTAGTCTCCCACAAGTGAAACCTTGGGGTTTGTAAATTTTGTTGCAGTGAACAAGTTCTGCTACACAGAATAACTAAACGATGCATGAACTAAAGCTGGAGAACAGCCTGCTCTATCATACCAGAAGATCAAAGTAGCATGAAACTGCATGCTAACAAGAAAACCTCTTATCTGCATATATTAAGACAGTGAAACTATAATCCCTAAAGTTCCCAAACCAATTATTTAGTGAAGTCAAATCTACTATGCAGTCCTTCTGAAAGCACTGTGTGAAGGGAATTCTTATCCCAAGCTCCAGGTTTCTTCTGAATACAGAAGTGAGTACATTAAGTTTGAATTACTAAAACAGTCTTCCTTAATATTTTAGCAAATTTTTATTAGCATTAACTTTAATATCTGACCACAAAAAAAGACTTATCTATGGATGTTAAAGCCAAATGGCTGTTACGATACGCCTGTGTCATGATAAGATGGAGGCATGGAATTTCATCCAAGGTCTGTGTCAGGTTTTCAACTGCTCATTGACACATTCTGCAGGAAAAGTTGGGGGGGGGGTGGTGGTGTTGTTGGTTTGGGGGTTTTTTTGTTTGTTTTTTTTTTGGGGGGGGTGGTGGGGTGGGGGGGTGGTGTTATTTTTTTTTTTTTTACATCTTACTTTGAGGTCTGCCACTAAGGTACTTGCAACCCATGATTTTGAACCCATGATTGTGGTATGAGGCCAAAAAATTAAATTCAGGACAAAGATTCACACCAGCAACTGCTGCTTACAATCACAACAATCTCTGAAGAGAACACTCCCCAGTTAGCTTTATACAGGCTCATTCCTCAGTCAGTTGAACAACAGCCATCACTATCGCCTATGTTTAAGTGTTTCCAGGCAGCATATTACTACCATACTCTATTTTGCATTAGTACTAACCAGCTGCAAAATGTTCAATAGCAGTTGTTAGAGAAGTTTGCACACCTGACTTAACAGGCCTTTACCTAAGGGGGGGGAGGTTGTTTATGCAAGGCTTCCTGAAGAAGGCTTTAGATGTTCCCTGCCAGAGCTTTAAAGTTACCAAATCTGTTTTTCCCACGAAGTCAGTAGTACATCTGAACCACATACTTTTATTCATAAACCTTCCCAATTCAAGCCTTTTGATGGTGTGATCCCTATTTACACCACAATGTTCTAGCACTGCATCTGCAGACTAGACCTCAAGTTATAAAATCATCTGATTTGGAAAAAGGATTTTGTATTTTGTCCTTCAAGACTGAAGAAACCAAAAGAAACTTTTAAACTAGGCAATAACAGAATTTCTCCATCTTGAGATGGGTTACTGCTGTTAACATATCTGTTTCTGTCCACGTAAGAGCTCCAAATAGAATCCCTGTATAGGAGTATGGTGTAGCATGGTTCTCATGTACTGTTATTCTAGAGACAGTACGCTAATAATGGTGTGGGCACCCAATGCAGAACATTTCTGGAGAGCAAATATCAATGGGCAGAACATGTCCTAGCTGCCAAACTGAAGAAAATTTCAGTTGACTACATACATTTAGAAGAATATCTCAGAAAACCTACCATCTTTCATGCATTAGAATATCAGTCCATTTCTTCCTTTAAACTTATTCCTGTATTTTCCTGATTTACTCTAGCTTCTCATAGATGGCCTGTATTGGATCATTCCTTTCAAACTATGTCTGTCCAGGTGTCTTCGTGTCAGAAACACTACCTGAAAGCATACTCACTATCCTCACTCTATTTTATATTTATAAATATTTATAGCCCAAAGAACACCAGGTGTCTATATCAAGCAAAGATGCTTTCTCATTTAAGACACTAAGTACACTAAAAAAAGAAATTAAAAATAAAATGGAAGAAAGTTATTACCACCACATCAGGAGTGGAGAACTGAAGAAGGCAGATTACGAATTGGAATCCACAACTTTATGCCATCTTTCATCAAAGTAGCAAAATCCCAAACACTTAGCCAATTCAGATGCCCACTGGTCTACGCCTGCTCAAATTTGCAGATATAGGCTGCCACAACCTTTGCATTAAACAGTGCTATAATCAAGACAAAGATGTTTTACAGATTGTTATTGTTGGTGGTGAGTTTTCCTCACATTTGCACTGAGTGCACGCAGTCACAATTCCTTTCCTCTCCTTAGGGAGTGGATGCTGGCCTGTTATCCTGGATTATCATCACAATAAGTACTTACCTTCTTCCTTCTGTGTCTACACATACACCAAACCCACTGAAGTCTTATTTAGGCTGCCTCTGACAACATAACAGCATAACTCACAAAAGGAGTCATCTAACCTACCACCTGCCCATGCCCAGCAGCCATTAACTATGTTCCATATGCTCCAGCTTACAAGAGAAAGCTTATCCAAAAAACCTGCCAACAGTAACAGTTCCCAGGAGGTGTTACCAGAGAGCACAGAATTAGATCAGCACTGAACTCCAACAGCTGGTTTGTGAAGGATTTATACCTGGATTCATTGCATGCACTCAAAGGGCCTAGGCAATAGTAAAAAAAAAACAAAAACAAAACCAAGAAAAAAAACCCAGTGTGACAGCAATGAAAGCACCATCAGAAGTAGTGATATACTAGGATTATGCCAAGAACAGAGTTCCAGCATGCCTGAAAGGCATTACATCATCATTTCATAAATAATTAAACTAAAAGAATAAACAGTTGAATAACTAAGAAAATAAGAGACACTGGTTAAACATGGAATAATATTGAAATACTAACTCTTCATACTTCTATCATCATTTTTTGGTTAGGGTGTATGTTCAGCATTACACTGCCACTCTTAAAACCGCTGATGTCAGATGGTGCCTGTGTAACACAGCAGACACTAACTAAGCTTTCATGTGCTAAAAATAAGATAATAAGAGTAGAGATACGTTTTGGAGACATGAAGAATGGGTGAGGTAAGATCAGTAACAAGGATGAGGTTCTGACCCTCAGTGTTTACTATGATGCTTTTTATGCAGTCTACCACAGCAACACTGAGCCAGTTTCTAAGTTTAACTTTTTCTAAGTGCAGTTGAGCCACTGATGCTGTAAACAGCTATCCTGCCAATTTGGCACTTGTTTTGTGGAAACAAATTTCTCTTCCTTGTGCTTTCACAGACAAAGTTGAAATTTCTTAGCACTCTTTCTCATGTAAAGGCCCGTGGAGTGAAAAAACCAAGAATCTCAGATACAGGAATTTTGGAATTTCTTGTCCATACCCTGTGGACAATAAAGAACTCACTCCTTTTTGAAGCCTCTTCCTCAAGAAGTCTGAGCCTCCTGGCTTCTGGCCCAGATGCGGATATCTTGCTTTCAATTTTGCTTCTTCCACTTTTTCTGGGCTGATCACCTTATCCTCCATTTCCTGAAAGACAATTAGCAATACTATAAATGAAACATACAATAATGAACTATTTATGCAGAACACCTTTGCAGCTAATTCACCAACATGCCAATTGCTGCTACCAAGTGAACATATCAGCTACTTGAATAGACATTTTCATACATTGTCTCCCGAATACTGACAGCAGCTGTAGGAGGTCAGCCTCCAATCTTAGATGCCTTCCCTGGAGACATGTTTGAATCTAATCAATGCATTTCTCTTTCACATAAAAGTAGTCTATGCTAAAATTAAATTATTCAGTTTTGGAAGAAAAAATCCACTAAGAACAAACAAATGCTGAAAGTTAGGCAAGAACCACAGGACTTTTTTCAACTGCCTCTGTTTGATTATGAAATTGCACAGACAGACTAGCACTTGGATTGCCACAATCTAGTTTGTATGGCTGCTGTAATGTATAACTAATGTGTCGATATTCACTGTGAAACAGTGTTAAAGTAGCTCAGTCTCAAAAACATGCCTGCTACCATATTAATAGCAATGATACTGTATTTCTCTATACACATCTATAATTAACCTAAAATTATGAGGATGAAGACAGCTGGATAGTGCATTTGTGTAAAATAAAATGCCTATTTTATGAGTAGCCTGTAAAATATGGATGCTCAAAGTAATCATTTGAAGATACTCATTTGGCAAAAATGGCAATTTGTACATCCAGTCTTTCAACAATGACCTCTACTTTACACTCATCTGTTTCAGCCCATGTAGCAATTTGATGTATGCAGTACAATTTCTTCTATTAGATCATTTCTAAAATATCTTCCATTCAAAAATCTTATTTTACTACTTTCCAGTATTTGGCCAAGGCCATTTTTTTTTTTTTTTTTTTGCATGCCAACCATTGCTAGTTCAGGGAAAATATATATTGATGTGCACTAACTGCTGAAGTTCTTGAATCGTTATCATCATCTGAAGTCACGGAAAGACTTTTAGGCAGGAAGGAAGAACTGACATTGAAATCAGGGGGGCCTCGCATTCATCTGTGACTAAGGTTTCATACCTACTTAGAGCTGCTTATGCAGCTCCTTCACACTCTTTTCCATCCATGTCATCATCCTTTGCATTGCATCAGTCAGCTGACTGCATGTACTCCACATGAATGGGTTACAGAAATTAATTCAACAGAAAAATAGCCATCTATTTTTTTTCCTTGTGGGGCTGTGTTTCATTTGGATCAGTTTCCACAGCCTGGATAACCAAGCAGCTGAACAAACAGGTATGTTACCACAGCAGCAGGGAGGACAGGGGAACGCAAGCAGCTGTGGGCTACTTAAGCCAGAACTGCCAAAGAACTAGAGCCACCGCACCCCAGTGCTTTCCTGTATCTCTTATAAAAGCTTGAAGTTCTATAATATTCAACATCTTTCTGGTAAGAAATCTCAGAAGCAATGGTTATAACAACAGATTTAGAATGTGACGTTGTCTAGTTGCTCCATTCAGGCCAAGACACCTCAAAGAAGGCTTCACACAATACATTGGGGATCCAAATTAACAGTTCCACCAAGGAAAGACAGACATTCCCGTAACAGTTTAAGAGAAAATTCTATGAGGACAGGAACCAATGTTTTTTATTAGATGAAAACACAGCTAGGCAATACAATGCAAAATACAAATAAATATAAAGGGCAAAGTTTCCCTGACACTACTGAACATACCATTGTACTGTTTCTCACTATATAATATCATACTAGCCAAGACCACAGTTATATAAAGATCATTCTTCAGATGCTGTTCTTCCTGTTGTGCTTTATTATCAAGCCGACACCAACCGGATTTTCTCAAAAGCAATCCTTTCAGCTAAACACTTTCAACATCTAATGCTGAATCACTGGGTACTCACTGTTGAGCCAACAGGCAAAGCATTTGAGGTGGCATGTTTTGCCAATACTAACCAAAAGGAGACAATTTTTTAAGAACAGAGGGCCAACAATAAATAGCTTACATAAATATGTATTCATGGTGCATCAAAGGAGACATTTATGCAAACTCACAGGGCTGACAAATCATCACACAGCAGGCAAGCAAAACACAAAATACTGTTATGCATCAATGCAGCTGAAAAGGATACAGACTATGGTCACTCACTCTTGATGACCAAGAACAACTAAGACTCAAAAAACTACGTAAGATGAATTAAAAAATTTCAGTACAAAGACCTGGGGTGTCAAACAAAGCCAGCTGATGCCAGGTTCAAAAAAATACTTAAGACAACAGTTCTTCACATAAAATAGTTAAGCTGCAGAACTCCTTGCCAAGAATTTAGATAGATTCAGAAAGCAACACGATGTGTTCATTCGCAGCTCAGAAGGCTTTTAAAACACAGATTGCTGAGACCTGGGATTGTTTTCTGGGGAAGATCACTGTATGCATATCCTGACCTTATACTCTTCTGCGGACTAGACAGTATTGAGCACTCTTGGGAGATGTGCTACTGAGCCACAAAGGCCTCAACCCAAGCCAGCAGGGCCATTCATACATTTACAACATTCTCCCTTCAGTTACAGAAGCAACAACCAAGTGACTAACAAATGACTGGGGGGGCGGGCGGAAATCAAGATATACCACGCTCTTCTTCCTAGCGACTGCCACACAAAAGTTATAATTTTAGATCTCTACAGGAATTTGACACAGCTAATGAAGTCTGCTTACTTCATTAAAAGGACCTACCAGGAAGCCAGTAGTTACCTAACTAATTTAAAGATGGCTTTTGCTTTTAATCTTTACAGAGGTAATAGCAGCGTAAAGCTCCACATCTGTTGGACCACTAAATAGATAAAAAAGAACCATCAGCCTTTTCAAACTCTGGTATGAAGAGCTCATCCTCTTTAGCAAAAGACATCAGACAAAATGTGAAGCAGAAAATGAGAAAAACATGACAACAGCACAACTCTACAGTGAACTGATGTGGCAAAAGCCAGCGCAGAGACAAAATGCACCACCTATAATAGCTTGCTGAAAAATACAGGCTTTTAAGGCAAAAAGAGTCAGTCAACCAAGCTTATGTTCTCCAATGTCTGAAGCTTCTTTGTTGCTGAACTTCGCCTTACCACTATCCTGGGTTTTCACATGGAGAACAGGAAACGCTGGTCTTTGGCAAGTTTTCAATTTATATCACTCTTATTTAACACCTTTCTCACCTAACACATGCACAAGCTTCATTGAGCATGTTAGAAAAGTTTAGAAAAGAAGTCTGATCAGGAAAACACTGCCTCAATGTTCATTTAGGGGAGGGACTTAATCTTTTTTAAGCACACATATGAATAAGTACTGCAAAATGGGTTGTTTATAGAAGCATTTTAGAGCTAAGCATTAACTGAGCCAATGTTCAATTCTGCCTACCCGGACAAACAGCTTTAGTGAAGCTTAATATTGCAATGCCATAATAGCACTGATATCACAGTATCCTAACAGGATATAAACTCACAGAAAACAAATTTTTATTTTATGGACATCATTAATTTGTCTGGAACACCTCATAAGATTAAAATTAAATTAGCAGATCTGTAAGGGACTCCTGTCTCTAAAATAAAGGGTAATTTTTCAAAACAGTGCATAAGCACTGCATTTCAAGACTTCAGTCTGCAACTCGGTGAGTAAAATCAGCCCCAGTCACCTGACTTCATCAGAACACACTAGAAGGCATCACAATAAACTTGCTACCACATGTTTGCTATGCTCTTATTACAGAGCTATTCTAGGAGCGTTGCATGGGCCAGGGATTTATTTTTGTAGGCTTTGAACAAGGACGATATCCCTTCAGTAGTCTACCTAACATGAATGTCAAGTTGAGCCGCAGAACACACGCATTTAAGAGTAGATTAGAGGCCTGCTATAGAAGCTGGCTCTGATTACTGCACCTATTGAGAAGGTATCATTCCATATTAACCCCCAAAGCCCTACTTGTATGACTAACTCATATTACAAATTGTAAATTATTAAACACAAACTTGACAGCTGAGGTAGATTAAGCTTTTTCTTTCAGCGTCCTTCAAAGCAGTACTTGCGTTTCATAACTGCTCCCTATCAGAAATGGCTGTAGAGATTGCAACTGAGTCCATACAGCAATGACAAGACTAGAAAGCAAACGGCTTCTTAAAGTCACAGCCAACAGCGGGAAACTGCTAACAGTATACAGTCATCTATGAAGCTAAATCCCCCTGAAAAAAGTACAAAATTATTAGTTACAGCGATGACATAATAGTACCATCGCAAGATAACCCAGCCAGTTATTCTTTCTAAAAGCCTTAACTAAAACAGGCCACAGTCATTGTGTTTTGGGCATTTTTCCTCCTAAAGAGCTTACAATAAGAGCTGAAAATTTTCTAAAAGTGAAACAAAAGTTTAGCCACCGGATTATCGCTGGTCTCCAGCCGCTGCCGACTGTGAGCTGAAATTCCTTCCCCCGGGAGGCAGCCGGCGGGCAGCGGGGCCGAGGAAGCGCCATTAGCCCGCCCAGGCCGGAGCACGCCAGCGATTTACAGGAGAACAAAAATCCCCAGGTGCAGAAGGCAACATGGTGGTGCCGCTGCCCGCCTCCGGCCTC